AGCTATGTAGGTGTCAGACCTGAATCAAGGTTCAATTTACAAGAGAGAAAGTTAATCCACTTCCGATTCAATGGCGTGGACGAGGTGTTGCTTGCTCATTAGTTGTTTTTGGTGAAATGAAAGAGGAGGAAATATATAAAGGCGTCTATTTCTACTTCTTAATGGAGCTGTGTCATTGGATTTCAAATTATATTATTCTTCGAATCAAGTTACTTAAAGTAAACAACGTTGTCGTTATTATTAGAGGGACGACTGGGTTTTGTAAGGTGGCGTAATTTGGACTATTTATTTCGTTGAATTGGATATCTAAACTTTTCTTGATTAAATATGAGGATTTTTATGTTTTCGGGAAAGAATAGGTCGACGTCGCTCAGTTTTGGTGTGTGGGAGCGACAATTTTGGTAATATTTCGGCGGGATCGGCGGAATAATGTTGAAGGGATAGGAAATCAGGTTTATCGGCGGGGGCGGCGCCGAAAATGCTAGCGGCATCCGCGATATGCAAATGCTATCGACGTTCGGCGGGGCGCAAAATGCTACCAGCGTTCGGCGGGGTGCACAATTTTTCCGGTGTGTCTAAAATGCTACCGGCGCCCGCCGACGCAAGATCGGCGGCGCCGACCTCTTCCCCAAATTATTTACACTTGTTTTGTTTGAATCACTGCAATGTTTTGCAGGTTTTGATAAATACTACCTGGGTATTTTATGTTTTCTGCAATTCCCTCCCTTACATAAACTTTGCTTGTTATTCTGAATCAGAATTTCTGATCGATGCGCTAATTGCGTTACATTATGTTATAAAAGCTGCTTCCGTTCACTATTTTATGCAACAACATACTTATACACATACATTCATATATCGCTATCAGAATCAGGGTTCGCTACCCCGGGTTTTTGTGGGTTGGGGTTTTTGGGGTTTTTGTGGGTTTTTGGGGTATCAAATCTCCGGAAAAACCCTAATGCTTAATGGGGTTTTTGCGGGTTTTTGTGGGTTTTTGTGGGTTTTTCCGGGGTTTTTGTAGGATTTTGAGGTAGATTGAAACAAAATCCCTTAAACTACAACGTAGATCAATGCTAATTAACTTTTCTACTTCATCTTGAAATTTTGAGAATCTTCATTTGCGACTTGAATTTCCAAATATCATTGCATATATCCAGATTTACATGTCAAACATAAATTTTCGATGTAACAGTCCAAATCAATGATAACGGTTAAAATTGCATGTTAAAATTGTATATAAAATTAGTTTATCTCTAATATATAATTTTAGGAATTCTGGTTCAACCTGCCCCAAAATCTACAAAAACCCACAAAAACCCACAAAAACCCACAAAAACCCCAAAAACCCCGGAAAAACCCCAGGGGTTGGGTTTTTCTACAAAAACCCCGGGGTTTTCCAAACCCTGATCAGAATATAGTCTTGTTTCTTTTTTCACAGGAATTTTGGCAAATGAACTTCCTTCCAATTTTTTTCTCTGTAGTAAAAAAACAACTTTTTGTTCATACTTTAAGTAGAATTGAATATTTTCCAATTGATTTCTTTTGACTGAACTGAATTCCAAAATAAAAAGCCTTGTAATTTAAAATGTATGCATGCAGATGATAGCTTGGTGGGTTTGTTAGTGGCACAAAATTCTGGCCCTCCACTAAAAATCAAGAGATCAAAGATAAAATAAGCTCTTTTATCAATTGTACATACCTCTACGTCTAATGCGAAATAACTATATTTAGCTCAATGTTATAAATTGGTGCCTGAAATAGAAAGGAATTTTACTTTTCCTCTCAAACTTGGCGAAGTAGGAGCCCTCCAAAAGTCTAAATTTATCCCGTTTTGTATGCATGTAAGCATGCAGAAATAAATAAAAAAAACTTTCCCTTCAAAGTCACAAGTTCATAATGTCAATCTATTGATGAAAGAATTTCCTTCTTTCTTTCGACTAATGCAAAATTGCAACTTCTCTTTTTTTCTCCTTCCAATTCAAGAAGATCAAGTCAGTCATGTGCCATTCAAAGGTTGTTCCAAAGTTTTTATCCAATTGAAACGAAGTAAAGTTATTTCTGTTTCAGAAAAAACTTGAGACAGGAATGTTTTCCGAGTATTGAATTGAATTGAGATGAAAAGAGAAGGGGACACCTTAACTGAAAAGAAGACTATGGAATCCTCTAACCATCTTCCTTGAAAAATAAAGAAAACACCGAAAAACATGTCCCACTTGACGGTACAAATTGCACCGGATAAAGAAAAATATGTAATAAAAATTGAAACAGTAAACTTTAGAAATTTTGGGCAGGTTTCAAATGTCAAGGCTGAAACTTTCTCCCAGTCATGATTCGTATGGCAGCGATCAGTCTTAGCCACCCACCACCCACCCACTTTCTCCCACTCAACAATTCTCTCGACTTACTTACATAATAAATACTTAGGAAGTAAAATCCCTTTATGGAAATGTATTGTCTGTCTGTCCGTCCGTCTGTCTGTATCTACGATAAATTTAGGACGAATTCAAATTTCGACATGTGGGTTTCACTAACGTGTTTCTAATTTTTTAAGTATGGATAAGTTCGAAGGTGGGCGTTGTAGGTCATAAGGTCACGCCGCCACGGGGGTAAGACCCACAGTCGAATTTTTTGTTTCGACCATTTTAGACATAGTTTTAGGGCGAGGATTTCAGAAATCGACATGGTTTTTATCATGTGGCTTCACCCTTTTGCTACATTTCATTTGCCACAGTTTACGTATTTACCAGGAACAAAGCCAGACTGAAGGGACGTCTTATTCGAGTTTATACCTCATTTTCTCTCGAGCACATAAATTTGGCTGACATTGCAATCCAACAACAACACGAAATGCGCCCGAATTAAACCTACTTTAAGGAAATATCTGAACCTGCACGACCTGACTGAACTGATAGACCTCGGCTTGTTCCTGCTGAGCGAGTGAGAGAGAGAGAGGAAGGAATAAATATATGCAAAATGTTTGGACACGATAAGAAAAGTTGGACGAGTTGCTATCTTGAAAGTGAGGTTATGAAATGCAAATGAGTCTTGTGTTTAGTTTGTCATGACGTGTTTGTTGTTACAGTAGCAGCAGAAGCAAAAGCACGGTTTTCGTTCGGGTTGTTGAGAGGAGAGAAAGTAGCAGTAAAGTCAAGTCAGTAAGTAAAGTGTGCTGGTGGTCTGGTCTGAAATGTGTGTGTGTATATCTATGTATCTATCTATCCGTGGTTGGTTGGTTGGTTGGTTGGTTTTGTGTATGTAGTTTCCTTACTTATTGACTCAGAAGACCCGAGAAATGATCGATACGTACGTATACGTATACTACGTGTTTTGGTGCTTTCTTTCTAAGGGTGTAGCGAATGAGAATGCAGTTGATGCTGTACAAGGTAGAGATTTATGGCTTTGGTTTCCTATTGTTTGCCTGTGAAAGAAAGGATTTTGACCGAGACGGGTTTTTTGTGGGATGTGTAATAATGGGTCTTAATCATGAATTGTTGAAGTAGTGAATATGATGGGTTGGAAGGACGTGTGATTATGCTGACGGGCGGGGTGGGTTTGAAAAGAAAGAGTTGAATTACGGGGTAGGTGGGCAATTTGGAGTAAAATTCATGGTGTGCTATATTCCAGTAATTGATCGTTTAACGTAGGGCTTTATTTTTTCTGAAGACTTAGGTCTGAACTTGAAATCTCATCCTTCAAAACTAAAACTTTTGAGTATATATTTTTAAAATTGGCACCGAACAACTCAAAAAAATCGTCGTCCAAAAAATTTTGAAATAAATTCCCAGAGCCCAGAAATCATAGAAATATGCTGATTTTGGCAAAGAGTCATCGAGTCGTACGTTAATACAGTTTTTCCAAACAATATTACTTTTCCTACGCATAACAATCATGCAAAAACAGTCCACATTTGTAGATTTCCTATCAAATCAAACGTGTCAAGATGGTGCATTTTTTATGAGACTTTCACTACAAGAGAAGGAAAGAAATTCCCATGTGTTGCAATGTGTCTGATGATTATTGTGTGCCCGACGCGACTCATTCTGCAGGTAGAAAAGGGCTGTTTACCAGGTACGGGAATAAGAGGACACGTCTCTGGAGACTGGTTGGAGATGAAGCGACCCATTTTTACGAATGGAATTTGTTATGAGATCAACCTCCAGGAAAAGACGATGAACTACGAAGGTGAAGATAAGCCGGGTAGGTAATATTGCGATTGAATTTTGTTACAGACTTGTCGTGATTTTATGTAGATTGGGTAGAATGAGATTTTGCCTGTCAGACTAAAAATTACACCAGCTACATAAATATTAGAAATCCAGTATTAAAATAATACCGAGTGGTATTCTCATGCCTCAATTAAATTGGTATTGATAAGTAATATCTGTAGTAGTTGCTCGGTATTAAAGTTTTACCATATCGGTAAGAAATTTTTACGGACCGTAATTTTATTACCAAGCGGTAGCAACTTTTACACCGAGAAATCAATGCTTGCGTGACTATGCCAGATCTCTAAAAGTGATAAGCATAAAACCTCTTCTACAACAAAATAGTGCTATTTTTCTCGTCTTATTACATTTAAAACTAGCAGAAACCTTACCCCCGACTTTAAAAATATCAAGATCCGCATATTTAATATAATTGGATACGAATGTGACATTACAAAAGGTGACTACCTGCCAACCCTGATTTTACGAGTATTTTTTTTTCTAGGAAGAAAGCAATCGTGAAAATTGGAGGGATCAAAAATATCCTCCTCCACCTCTCGAGCTGGATATGCAGTCGTACTGCCTGACTGGCACTCGTGGCAGGGGGAGGATTACTGACGAATGTGGGATTGAAGGATAAGTGACAAGTGAAGGATCATTTCTGTTTGTTCAATTTATAAAAGGATTCCATAAATAACGCTGCGTCATTATTTTCATACTTTTCATGCTGCAAACCTTCTCCCATTTTCTGACATAAATTATTATACCAGAAAAAAAAATTGTTACAAATCTCACCTGGAACGAGCCTAGGTCCATTGGCCTGTGAGTAATTGGGAGCCTGCCCACCTCCATATGTCACCTGTAATCAAGGAGCAGTTTAATATAATTCTTTTTTTTTCAGAAAAATATTTTCATTCATATAATTTATCAAATGAAAAAATTCAGTCCCATATTTAGTGATGAAGAATCTATAATTCATTCGCTACTACAATTTCAAAAAATAATAATTTCGACTGTCAAGTATTTCATCCCGATTTGATATTCGTTACAAGTTTGTTTGAATTGCAACATTTTTTTTGAAACTTTCAATTTTTGTGTATGCTAAAAACTAGTCGAGTTGGAGAAGTAAAAGTTTGAAATTATGTAACGATGACGCATGATAAGTATGAACTTTACTATCGTACTTATTATCATTAAACTCTTAGAAATCCAGTATTAAAATGATACAAAGCGGTATTCATATAGACTCTACCATGACTAATACGTTATAGCAATAGCTCGGTATTAAAGTTTTACCATATCGGTAGCAAGTTTCTAATCCCCGGTATAATTTTAATACCAAACCGGTAGCAAGTTTAACACCGAGAAACCAACACCTGCCTGACTACACCAGACTTCTAACAGTATATTTAACCTCCACATTTATTCCCACGCTTCCCTCACCTCTCCCAAGTCGGTATTGGACACGATGGCGATGTCTTCTAAATCATCGTCCTTATTGTCCGAGTGAGAATGTCCCGTCGAGTACTTGACAATCCGCTCCCCACTTCCCACCGACCCCAGTTTGCGACCACCGAGCGAAAACACGCGGCGTTTCCCAGACATGCTATAATTCGTGAGAGTCCCACCACTAACAAAATTGAAACGGACACACTTTCACCACCACAAAAACGACCACAAGCACCACTCTTGCTGCCAAGTAGTCGAGGAGTAAAAACAGTTTCAATTTCTCGCCTGTAATAACATTCCGCACTTTTTCTCACCACCAGTTCCTCCTCGGAAGCATGATCTCGTCCTACTATTTGCAATCCTGATTTATTACCAGCACTACGAGTAGCACTTGTCCTTGATAAGAATAATTCCCCCCAATTTGCTCCTCTTGTCAGCTTAACGCTTATTATTATTACGCCAAGTAGGAGCGAGGCTAAAAATGACAATGAGTCGGGGTCGTCGTAATGATGAGTCGTTGGCGGCGTCTTCCTCGTCCCTCGTGACGAATAGACCTGTAAATTATGCTGATGAAGATGATGATGATGATCTCGACGTGGCGATGAATTTAAAAGCTTCCGTGTTGTTGATGATGATGCAGATGACGACGGAGCTAACCCATCCATGCTCCACTACATTTCACACGCCCAAAAAGGGTTGGGTAGGCACACTCACTTTTTTTAGATCAGCGGAGGGAAGTGGTCGCGTAAAAAAATCATCATTAACATTCTTCGTACCCCCATTGTTGCAAAGGTTTAGTTAACAAGTGCGATTTGGTCATTTATTAAACGGTTTGTTCACCTGTAGCTGGCTACATAATGGTTTTTTTTGCCTCTTTTTGAAGAGAAAGTTCAGTTCAATTCAATCCAATCTCCGACCAAGCACTCGACCCTTCTCAACCACTTTTTTATCTGGTGGGCCGTGAATCAAGTCATCATCATAAATTTTCAAGAGACAAGAACCAACAACGGACAGAAAACCTGGCTCGAAAACACTTAACACTCTTTCACTCAAGAGAGAGTAGTATCACTTTACTTTACACGGCTCGATAAGCCATCAAATGATGAGTGGGCTCTCATCTCTCGAGGAGTTTTTGTATCGTGGTGGCTTGTTGGTGGTGATCGTGGCTGGCTTTTTCATCGCTTCGTCTGAGCCGGTTCTGTGGAGAGAAAAGAAGAAAAAAATCACGTTTTTCATCAGAAATGTATGTATAAGTGAAAGAAGGAAACATAGAAAGAAGAAAAAAGATGAAAGAAAATTCAACAAAATTTTGCAAAGTTCTCTTAATAAATAACGAGAAAAGTTGGGCGATTAAGGATTTTTTACTTTTTTATTGTGATTATGAATGACGCCATAATAATATTTACGAATCATTATTATTTTCATAACTTTGCAGATGATACTTTGCTTGTCAACTTTTTGCAACAAAAGGTAACAATCCCTATTAACAATTTTGAAAGAAATTGTCTGTTTGCCCTCCAATTTCTCGCTCAGTGAAACTTATTCATTGTTGTATTATTTCGTATTTATGTGAGGAAAAGTCAGCAGTAAAAGGATTACGTAGTTGATCTCTCTCTCTGCAAATTTTACCTTTCTCCCATCACCGCGCAAATCTATAATCCTCTCACATACAAATTGATAAGCTTATAAATTCCCAATCCTCTCACTCAACCGTACATACACAACCTCTCATACGTACAATTATTATTACCAGACAGAGAGGAGAAAACTAGTCACCAAAAGAATGAGGTAATCCTTCTCACCAACCGCAATTCTATAACCGCATCATATCTTTCATCCAAGAATGGATCGATATATAACAAACATCAAAAAACTTTTACTTTTTTTTCCTACTTCATCTTTTTTTATCCACGTGTGACTTTCTCTTCTTCTTAAAAAAAAGAACTTTCTTTTTTAAACTTTTCCCCACCAAACGAAATCAATAAAGTTTTTTTGTCCCTTTAAGAAAATACATACATTGTTGATTGGCGACACGAATTGTTTCAACGGGATGATTGAAGGGTCCCGCAGTAAAGGAATTGTGTGTGTCCGGATTTTTGGAGTAAGTGGACATTGATGCAGTCGTGAATTGGATGTGAAAACGGAGGGATTGGATGCCGATCAAGGCAGAGACAAAAGTAGACCTAAACCACACCGCCGTCGGTAATATTACTAGTCCAGTGGCCGCGGAAGCTACATGTGGGGACGTTAACATTGTAGGATAGGGGAGGGAGGGGTTTATATAACATGGGGAGATGATGGGACAATCGTGGGGACATTGTCCGCGGCCACTGATTACTACATGGGCGACTCTACTACTACCACGGTCAACAGTTCAGGCTGGTTAGGAAATACGTGGCGTAGTTTTTTTTGTGTCTAACTGTTCAGCATTCAATCCGGCATCCTCCATTAGTAGACTCATCCTAGTCGTGCTGTTTTTTCTCTCTTTTTGCTTACTTTCTCTCTGGGTGGATGGATGGAGGGATGCATAGTTGGTTTGCTACTATTTCGCAGTATAGGACTGCATACTCGGCGGAATCAAGGACTCGAATCTTACCAAAGAGAAGTGGAGCGATTCTATTAGAATTACAGATTCCGGCCGTGGTCTGTCCACATATTGTAGGGACACGTGTCACCCATAATTTTTGGTATGTGCAAGTATTTCGGTGGAAATTAATGCAGATTTTGACATTATGAACTCGGTGAGGGTTTGGTTTTAGTGAGAAAATTGTGGTGTTAAGGAGAGAGAGAGAGAGTGACATTTTCTCGACGTTCTGTTTAATCATGCAGTGGCAAGAGTGCTGTGTGAAGAATGTATTTATGTACATTAACCAAAAACCAAACCAAACCACACCACCCACTACTTTTGATGTGTGGTTAGATATGAACTCGTGGTATGCAGCTTAACGTGACGATCGTGACGACATATTCCTTCAAATATGGGAGATGCTGTGTAGGAAGAGAGAAAGTCAAGTCAAGTCGCCTCACTCGACAGTGGCCGCGGAAGTCGTGGGGACATTAATATTGTAGGATAGGGGAGGGAGCGGTTTATATAACATGTCGAGATGATGGGGACATCGAATACCCGTGGGTACATTGTCCCTCTGTCCCCATCCATGCTTCCGCGGCCACTGCTCACCCACCACCATCACGCCGTCTTAACTTCCTGGTTGCACTTTATTTCTACGAAGGAGAGCTTATCCTTTCCTCATTTTACTTTATGTAGAGAAATATCCCCCCAGCTTGTAAAAGTAATGGGAGTAATTCTTCCAAATTGGTGGAAACTAACAAGATACGCTCATCCCGCATAATACTTATGTCGTAGCCTAGATTAAGAGAAAGTAGTCCTCGCTCCTAGATGTTGGACAAAGTCGTGATGAGAAAGAGGGAGGAAAATAGTGCTCTGAATTCCAATCAAGTCCCTAAAAATTAAGAGAAAGTCAATTTTCTTGTCCATGTTTATTTCTTCCTTAAAGAAAACGGTGTTACGTACAACACCGATTTTTGAATCTGATCCAATCTAATCTAATCTTTACTGTGATCCACTACTTGTAAAACAGTTGGCACTCTCTGCTTTCTTCTTATCCTTCATTTCATCTCGCAATTGTTTGGACAATTAAACTTTATTTCGTTCCTTCTTCCTTACTTGTAACTCCCTGAGGCTCAATCTTTTTCTTTTCGTGTGTTGACAAGGCGTGAAAGTGAAGGCGCGTTGTTAGTAATTGACGTGAAACACACGCATTTATTGAAACAAGTAAAAGTTTTGTGATTCTATTCACGTCCTAAACATTTCAGTCAGTCAGTCAGCTATTTAGTAGGTCAGCGGGGTAAATGATGCTGCATTGACACCTTTCACCACCAACCAGGAACCAACCAATTCCTTACTTTTTCATCACATCATCGTCTCGCCTAATTAATCTTAATCCTTGATCCCTTACTTTACTCGGGAGGAGAAGGTTAGTAATCAACATTGGGAGAAAAGACCTACTTGACACCCGTAAGTAAAACTTTAGATTTTTCTCACTCTTCTTCTTCGTGACCGCTTTCTTCCGTGTGAGAAGAGAAGAGTTAGTTTGTTGGCGTAGTGGACTTGTGGAAATTTGCAGGTGGAACAGAGAGCAAAAAACTTATTGGATTTGTGTCGAAACGAAGGAAAAGAAGAAGTTGTTGGGAAAGAAAAGACAAAGTTTCACTCGCTTCCGACTTACGTATTCCATTAAGAATGACTAGTTACTTTTATATATTTCACACTTTTCCCCGTATTTTTAACTTATTGTAGTCTCAACTTGGGAAAATATTGGTATGCCGTGGTTGGTAGTGTTACATAAGTCTCTTGCCATTTATGTAAGATGCATCCACATCTCCTCGTAGAGGAAAAATGCCCATCTGTGAGAAGGGAGAGAAGAAAAAGAAGACTGTCTAAAACTCGACTTGAACCTATTAAAAGTGAGGAGAAAAATATATAGCCAAGTTTCATCCGGGTTGATGCAATTCTCTAAATATTTTAGTAAGAAGTATCAAGAGATTTAGAAATTGGGTATTTAGACGAACATGGCCTGAAGAAGAAGAGAAGACACGTTTCGTTCCTTTCTATACCTACTTTTCATCTCTTCTTCTTGAGTTTCACGTTTTTTTACTGCGAGTAGAACTAGACATAAAAGAGAAAATTGGGAAATGAAGTAAATTTTGGTGAAAGGGGAGATTAGTCAAATTGGAAAATTTTATTATTGCATGTCGTAATAAAATTCTTAATAAATGTGATTGAATAACGTCGTGGTTGAAATTATAAAAAAATATTTAATCAAGTTGGTATAAGGTTTCATTCAATAAAAGAATTAATCCAATTTTTCATTACTTTGTGGCAAATTGGAAAATTTTTCGGCATAAAAAAACCTACTACTGTTGATTACTTTTCTCTGTATTTTAGTATGCAATAATAATTCCAATTTTCACCAAGTTTTTATACTTTTTTCTACCATTTCAAGAAAGTTAAATAAATGTAATTTTCTACTTCACTCTAATTTTTCCCGGATAACATTTTCCTTCAAAAAATCCTATCCTTTTCCCCTTGATTCCTTCCTGCTTAAAGTTTTTTTTTCATTATATAGCGGATTAACCAAAGTAATCCTACCATTGTTGTTTTGTTTGAAAAATTTTTCCCCTCAGTCCTCCTGCACCACCAGCCAACTGAGCAGCAGTAAGATTTGGGATCAGATGGAGGAACGCCGACGGAACGAGCGAGTGAAAAAAAGTGTAAATATACCACTTCAATATTTCCGGCCGAATATCCAGTCTCTCTCTTTTTTCACTGCACACACAATTTCACTGCACAAATCTTCAAAAAAGTTTTATTCAAACCTATCCAGTTCAAAAAAAATTTCTTTTTTTTTGTATAATTGTTTCCCACAAACTTTTTGATAAATATGGCCAAGAAAAAAAAAACTTTATTCTAAAAAATGTGAAGGCGGTAATAATAAAGCCGTTAGTACTTTTATTATTATTTACTAGAAGAAGAAGAAGAAGAAGAAAACGGAGCCAGGCCAGCGAGCTACTCTTCTTCTTCTGTCGGTCGTACTAGTACTTACACTATTTTGCTGCTGGGAGCACGACTTTTTTGACGATGAAAATACCTCCGGATGAGGATTTCTCTACTCTCTTTCTCCCTGTCTGGCTGGGAAGGTTGGAGTAAAGTGACTGAGACGAGTTGTTCCTCCACCGTGGAGTCAAGTGTGGAGAAAGCAAGCACGGTTAGCTAGTAGACGAGTAGAGAGAGAACTCAAAATTCTCCAAAAATCGATTTATGCGCAAAACTAGCCCTACTACACAGTGTATGCCGGGGTGGTTGGTGGGTCCTACATAGGACAAGTTCAGTCCTCCACTACTATGTATGTGAGAGTTAGTGGTGGAAGTTGCATCGCAGCATTCATTTGGTTTCTTGTCGAGTTCATCCTTCATATGGAGAAAGAGAGATGCTGGGTTTGGTGGGTGAGAGTTGGAGGAGGAAAGAAAGCAGGAAGGACGGATGACGGGTTTTACTTGGAGAAGCAGTTTATATCAAAGGCAAAGAGAGAGATCTATTTGGTACAGATGGAGAGTTGGATTCTTCAAAGTAGGTGTGACCCTTTTATGGGGCTTGAGTGATAAGTCTGATTATTTTTTTCAGCGTGAAAAATTATTTTGTTTTATGGGAGAAAAGTAAATTGAAAGGGGGATAAGTTTCACGGGATTTTTTTCGGGTTTGTTGATCTTGTCAATTTGTCTGTAATTTTACAAGTTCGATGGACCAGGAGTGTGTAAGAATCTCACTCCACCATAATTTCATATCTTGTCTGCTGGAACCACGAAATAGGGACTCGTCTCTGATATCTGGACTAATGGAGAAAGCATATAAAAGACCATGTTTCTCCAAACCGTGTCTCAGACTTGGCGAAATGCTGGCCTGGACTGGACTGGAGGACGGCTTCTTGCTGAGCTGCTGGATGGATGAAGAGAGAAAGCAAAAAAAGTATGATGATGAGGGAGGATGATAAACTCTCCAAGAAGAAGGCTGCACCATTGCGACGTCATCTAGCCTCCGAAGGGAGCGACTTTCACTTCCGGATCCCATGAGTTTTACGCTTTTCCTTTGTTACGTTTGAGTCGTATTTCGACTTATGCATTTAGAAATACGCGTGTTCATGCAACTGTTATGCTCTCAACTTTTATTTCGTTCCCCATTAAATTAATTCGTGGTGGTAATGATCATATACAAGTCGTATCTGATACCACCACGCCAGCCACCCGTACATATGCCCAACCCAACTTATGTATACACTAATGACAGGAGGAGAGAGAGCGAAAAGTGACTCTCACTATGAAACAAAGATAACAATAACAATTATACTTGGTGGTTTGGTGCGACGTTAGCTAAAATACGCCACCAAATCCGGCACTTCCACTACTAGTACCGAGCCCATATCCTGCCAAACCGTCGTACAACGAGGGGGACGCGGGTGACATGGCGGAAGCGGCGGAAAGACCGTTCAGTGCATTAGTGAGAAGTGGGTAATTATTCAATTGGGACGTTAAGGGGGCAGAGAGTCCGAAATTTGCAGCGTTGGTGAGTTGAATTTGATTCTGGTAGTCATTCTCGGCACTCAGCATGTACGGCGAGGTCGGACTTGGGGGTGTGGTGGGGTATGAATTTACTGTGGATGTGGTGGTTGGATAACCGTACTCGTTGTAGCGGATAGGTCGTGACGATGAGGATGGTGTGGGTGCTGGTGGTGGTGGTCGGTCAGTCAGACCGCTATAACCGGAAGTGTCATCGTCATCATCTTGATGATGATCATCCTCGCCATCGTCCTGTTTCCGTGGTGATGATGATGACGTCTTGCGTGACACTGCGCCATAGCTTTCGACTTGCGTGGGGGCTGAGGCGTGGGGAAAGTGGTCGTACGGTGAGGATGGGACGTACCCTCGGCTATAGCTGGTTTCACGAGAGTTTGCCTTCTTATTTCCTCTGGGGTTCGATTCCGGGTAATCTTGTCCACCGAATCCGGGCGGAATTGGGGGAAGTGGGAGACCGTATGGGAAACCTTCACCGCGACTCGGGCTCTTGTTTCCGGACGCGTATCTGGAAAGAAGTTGGTGATGGCGGGTCGTGGGGTCGACGAAGTTTGGGTGGCTGTCTGGGTGGTGGTAACCTAATAATTCGTTATTTACGCCACTACCACCACCACCACCACTGCTTCCTCCTCTCCCTCCAGGATAGTAGGACATGGACAAACCTAATTTCTGATTAGAATTGGGAATTGCGTTATAATTTTTTCCACGCAGACTGGCAACACCACCGTAATTATTCGTGTAGAGAGGAAGCCGATACTCCTGCGGGGTTTGAAGGGGTCGATACGACGGCGCCTTGTGTGGGCTGGTGGGGACTCCGTGGGATGGAAAAAATGGCGTGTCGTCATTATTATCTCCGCCACCAGATTGTTTTTTATTATTACTGTTTGAATCTTCCGTGGGGTAGTACGTGTTATCAAAGTAGCCTCGATCACGATCCTTATCGCTGTAATCGTCATACCCGTCATTACTGGAAAAACTGTCCTTATTCCCCTTCGAGTTCCCATCCTTTTCGGTATGATGTCGATCGGAGCTGAAATCTCGGAAGATATCTTCCGGCGGGGGAAACCGTGGGGGGAACCGTGACCCGGGAAAGCTGTTCCCACCACTGTACCGACTTTTCGGTGATGAAGAGGTCGTTAAGCTTCTAATGTCATCATAATTATTCTTCCCTCTGCCCATTTTATCACTGTTGCTGCTGCTGCTCTTATCATCATAGTTGTAATTAGTGTCGTAATTGGACCCGTCATTTTGTCCACCACCACCACCGCCGCCACCATTCCCGTAATCCTCAAACCCAGACGAACTGGAGGAAAGGGAGGCTGGAAGATTGCTGTGTAGTTGAGAAATCTGTGCAAGTCCGCCCAGTTTTTGCAAGTCTGTGATGTGATGGAGAAGAGATGCGATACCGGAAATGCTTCTCTTTTCAGCGACGCTTTGCCCTTGTTCGGTCGTCGTTGATGCTGCAACGGTGGCGTCCTCTTCGACTACTTCTTTAGAACTATTGCTGGATTTGGCATGGGCTGGACCTGAAATTATGAAGATTTCGAAAATATTTAATAAATTTTTACGTATTTTCAGAGGTTTTTCAACTTAAAATCAGATACACCACTCACTAGACACAAACACGATCAGAAGAAGAAACTGGACAAGAACACCGACAAGCCTGGAGGATAACATGTCTCAAGAGAAATCCAATTCTTACAAGGCTCCAATTTCCGGTTCAACTAAACACTAATAATTTTTTCTACAACTTGCTCCTTTTTCCAACCATGTTTTTCATTTATTTTGTCTCTCTCGAAGAGAAACTAATCAAATAAGCCTTCTAGTATAACTTCCTCTCTGTTAAATAGCTTTGCATGAACAATTGCACAAGAACAAATTCACACAAAAAGAGGAAGGCGAGCAGATGCAGAAATGAAAGACTTTATTTGGCATCATCGCTTGCATAGCGATTTACATACGTACATAGCTGCCTATAAGTAAAGCAAACTCCTTAATCCAATCCAATTCATCTCCCCACGAGCAAACAAAGAAACGACGACGCCACATTATTATCCGTCCGACACATCAAATGAAACGCTACCGTCTTTGAATAATTGTCTTTTTGACTCTCATTTTCTCAAATTCAAATTCTTGCAGTCTCTTTTTGTGACGCGTGGTGTGAAGTGGATTGACTTTTGTGCATATGCAGTAGCCGCGGAAGCGTGGGGACATGTGGGGACATTAGCATTGTAGGATAGGGGAGGGCGGGGTTTATATAACATGGGCAGATGATGCGGACATCGAGCAACCGTGGGGACATTGCCCCTCTTTTGTCCCCTCAAGCTTCCGCGGCCACTGTTCACGTACCATACCGGGTGCAAATACTGCATAACGAGTGAGCGGAAACCATGCAGTACTTGAGTGAGTCAAAGAATCAGATGAAACAAAGGGATTTAATCTCTTTTGTGACTAAGTGACTTGGCTTACTGAGCAAAGTGACACTTCCTTAAAGACGTCGTCTTCGTGCCATTATTCTCCCATTGCTAAATGCAACTTTATTATGTAATGAATCGTGTATTTATAAAACAATAATGAATTCTGAATTTTATAAGGTTTTGTTTTAAGTATGGTTTCGTTCTTGCGTAATGAACACCACTCCACTTCCTTCCGTGATGGGATTGAATAATGCAAAATGTTTTTAAGGGAAATTGGGCCCAACTGGTGGAAAATTGGGGAAAATGAGTGAGTGGTTGTCGATACACAGATAATCCGTTTTCATGTCATTATATTTCAAGGTTACATTAATAGTTTAGACAATATTTTGTATATGTATGTATGCACGTAATAACGATACTATTTAAATCACTGTTCAGGTTTGGGAAATTTTCAATCAATCAACCATCAACACCATCATCACACATTGTTAAAAAATTTTGATACAGAAAATGTCTGTCTGTCAGTTACACACTATTGATCCCACACCTAAACTTAATAGTTCAGTTGTTGTTACATAATATTGAATTATAAGAATGAATATTTGACTCATATGTAGAAATCACTCAATCATCAATTATTATTAAAAGTATGTATATTTTAAATTATGTACGTGTGTACTTTTGTAAGTAAGATATAATAACAAAAGTTAAGAAACAATGTATAACATGACACGTAGTATTATACACTACATTGAGAAGAAATACGACGATAATGTATAAGGTTATTATTAACCGATGATATAATATATATTTGCGAATACACGAATAGATATTTAAGTAATGGTACGATTACATTGTTGATCATAAGGTAAAATAAATAAGAGAAAAATCTGTAAATATGTTTTTTTTCCATGAGAAAGGAATAAATCACTCAGTCGTTTCGTCTTTAACACCAAGAGTTGAACAAAGAAAAGTGTCCTGGGGAATTGTAGCGTGTGACCGTCGTGTAGACCGTCGGGTGGGTTGTTGAGCCTCACCCCGTTGATTATTAGCATGAGAGGATGTCGACGGTTCGCTACATCCAATCGTACAATTGGAACTGGTAGTAGTAGATTGACGCTTGTTGTTAAGCCAGTTGCGAAGACTGAATGGATTCTCTTCTTCAGTTCGTCGAGAAGGAAGTTGATTCAATTCTTTCTGCAGTTTCCGTGCAAGTCTTAAATCCATTTCTTCCTGGAGTTGTCTTTCTCGAATGCGCTTCAGTTCTTCTGCTTGTTTTTTGACCATGCCTAGGTCGATATTGGCCGAGACTTGGGAATCTTGACTGTCTGGCAAATCTTCATCGAGAAGCCAAGAAAGATCGTCGTCCATGACTTGTGAATTTTGATCAGTGGTACTTGTTAGTTTTGTTGGTGGGTTTGAATTACCTGCTTGTGCAGAATCTGTTTCATCTACTTGAAGAGTATCCAATGGTGCATTGTCGTCAAAATTAATAGTTGGCTGAGCGTCATGATGCTCAACATAGAATGGTGAATTTGTAACGTTCAATTGAGAGTTTGGTGAACCCTGCGTGTTTTCAGACGGATCTTGAAGACTTTCCAGTGGAATGCATGAAATATTGAACTCTGACTCTCGTTCTGGTTCTAAATCTGTCAAATTGAAGAATACGGAGATGCAAAATCAGTTAAAATGCCATTTACAGTGCAAAAATCCTATTAATCTGATATTACCGTAATCATTATCCATACGTTGCGAATTTTCGTCATCATCGTTTCCAGAAATATCTATGATCACACAGGGAACAAGTTTTACAGGCGTGGTCTTCACCATTAACGGTTCGGGTAGGAAAGAACCATCAGGTAATTTCTGTGGTGGCGTTTTTGGGGCCGATCTAATTGGACGAAAATGATAATTGACTTCCAGATCAATTGAATTTGGAGTTGGAATATCGCGCTCGCTATCTTTTGACGCTCCTCCAGTTTCGTCAAATTCATTACTTTGCATCAATATTTCTCCTTTCTCTGTTCGATTCATAGGCTTCAGAATTGACTGCTGATAAATTAGCGACTTTGAAGGTACGACTTGCGCAGCCAGCCCTTTGTTAACTGGTTTTATAGATGAGAAAGCGGACGACGCTGATACAAAGGATGACCCGGGTGTATCTTGTTGTGCTAACTTATATTGCAACTTGGCGGCAGTTGATGTCGATGGTTTAGGAGAGCTTAAAATTAAAACCGAAGATGAACTAGATTGTGAACATGGAGAAGTGTTGGATTGTTGTTGCTGTTGCGATGAAGAAGAAATATATTTCAAAATTGAATTCTGAGAGTTTTGGCCACTACCACCACTGGCCGGAGAAGGCTGTGATAAAGTCAGTCGTCCACTCTTTTGTTTTTTATTATTGGGCCGTTCCGCTGATCCTGAGAGTGAAAAGGATGTCCTCTTCCCTCCAGTGTGTCTACGTGGCGTGGTAGCCTCGCTATATGATTTCTTACTGTTATTTGGCGTTTTAGGCAGATTTCCACTGAATGATGATGACCCTGCTGTTAGTGGGGTTGACTCTGTAAACAGCTTTCGTCTCGCATTAATTGCAGCACCCAATTCTTTCTTTTCTTGTTCTGCAAGTTGTTCTGCAAGACGGCGATCTTCTTCTTCCTCCTCATTAGCTCGGTTAGTTGCTTCAGTCTGCAATTGTCTTATCAGTTGTTGACTCTCGTTCTCTTCCATTCGTCTCTCATTTTCTATGTCTTCCATATGTTTTTTATTCATTTCTTCCAGCTCTCGTTTAAGCTCGCCGTTTCCCAAACTAATTTCTCCATCCCGTTTTAATATTGCCTCAACAGGAAACTTGTCGTTCTCATTGTCATCAACATTATTTTCATAGATAGCAAGAGGAGACGGACTCTGATTAATATGTCCTCCTCCCGTTGATAGAGGTATATTCTTATCAAAAATGGATACTAAATCGTCACCCTGTAAGTTTTGTGAGTCCTCACCCAACAAACGGGTTTGAACCAATTTGGGAAACTATATAAAAATAAACGGTTGTTAAAAGTATTTTTCAATCACCATCAAAAAAGTATTTATCATAAAAATTCTATCTACCTCACGCTGAATTCGTTCCCATAATTTTTTATCCACCAGATTATTCTGCTTAAAAGCACGCCTACTCCAAACCGAAATCCGCATCCGACAACACGGACACTGAAGGGACGTCTCGGCTACATGTTTTTTAAAGCAAGTACAACACAGTGCATGACCACAAGGAAGGGTCACTGGCTCGATGAAAATACTCCAACAGATAGAACAAAGAACATCTTCGCGTTTCAGCGGTCCGGGACGGTCAGACAGCTGAAAAAAAATTAGGTTTTAATAACCACAATAATAATTATTGTTGTTAAAAGTAATTATTACTTTAAAGCAGGAAAGATTAAACTTGTCAGGTCAATTAACTTACCGGAACTTTTGCCGCAGCCTTACTTTTGGATCCTTTACCTGACATGATAATGTCCACTTCTGTCCACTGCTATAAATCATGCATTAGCAAATTACGAAGTAAATTTGCGTTATATATCTTCACTCGTCCTTCACCTTCACCCACACCTAAAATTAATCAGAAACCACAACTACGTTACTAAAGCACAAAATTGTCTTATACACAACAATATTTTCGACAAAATCAAAATTAATGGTCACCTTACAAGTAATAAATATAAATTAAATGATTAACTCACCAGTCAGTCACCACCCTACTACACTATTAAATATTACACGAAGTATAATGTCCTCCTACCACATAAATCACATGTTTTAATCAAATCGAACACGGAGCTGGATGGAATAAATAAAACCGGGCAAAGTCAAGAACAGCTCACATTAAATTTTCAGATGGATCGAATAATTAATGCATTTTATAATTTAGTTTCAAATTTTAATTAAGACACGACTCAAATAATTACTCGGCTGTTTTTACAGCACAACGACATTTTTCGTATTTTCCTTCTTTTTTTAAGCGGACTGACTGGATCTGTCTGGATCTTTGCTCACCAAGCTGATCAAAAAGTTTTTTTTTAGCCCTTTGCGCCAAACTCGGATCGGAGGGGTAATTCTTGCGGTTAAAATTTTAGATGCATTGTCAATTATTTTCATTTTCATTAATTTTATAAAATTAGGTTTAAACCGTGAATTAAATTTTCATTGTATTTTGGTCATAAGAGAAAGAGGAATTCATGAAATCATGCTTCATTACATTTGCAAGGCAAAAATTGAGACTCAAAAACGTTGTCTCATTTTGAGAGAAAGTTGAACTTGTTGAGTGGAGAGTTTGGTGCCGCATTTTGGAGAAAGGAGCGGACTTTCTCTGCACTTTCTTCTCGTAAGAGCGAGCTTCTGCGTTAGTTTTGGACTTGAAAACTAACTAAACTTTGTGCAATTTTGACAATTCTGTTTATCTCACCCAACTTTTAATCTCTTTATAATGACAAATATTTAGAAATTAACGACAATGGAAATCTACTCGTTAATTGGGTCGAATAATGTTTTGTTTTCATTTTGTCGGATGTGTGGGCGGGTGAGGAACGATTAAAGTAAAGTATGGGATTTCTATCATAAATAAAATCTGTGCAGGATTTAACAGAACTATTTGTATACAGTAACTCAGGATGATACGCAGAATAATATAATACAAATAATTAATTTCAGCCCAAAATAGACAGAATGTTTGTAAACAAGCTAATTTGAGGTGGGTTGAAAGTTTGCGAAGGATTGTACGGATGATAAGTCGAATTACTTGGTGGTGAAAGTACACAAGTAAATATAAATAACTGAAAGAAGTGACAAGTTAGAGTTGTTTGGATGGATTTATGGCTGGCGAGGTGACGTCGGTATTACTTATCATTTGAGCAAAACAATTAATCAGGGCTGGACTTCTTACACGTTTCTACTGCTGCTTTCTACTCATTTAAGGGTCATATACTTTATTATATTTAATCCCTGAAAAACACTGCGTCGTTTTTTTATTCTGCACCCGTGACACCAAGAAAAAAGTGTCCAACTTCGTAAGAATTATTTGTCTCAGTCGCAATATTTTGATCTTTCGGAACAGCAGAGGGGACGTGACACAGCGGTACAAACAGTAGATTAAACGGGTGGATCTTGTGACCCAAATCTCAGTCAGTCAGTAATAATTGTTTTTGGGCAGAACGACAAAAAAGTGTCAACAATCTGCTGAACTCTTCGGTACACAAATATCATGCGACGTACGACGAGATCATCATCGGCGTCATTTTATGACTGCGTATTTTCGCGAGAATCATAGAATTGTAAACAATTAGCAATGTTCTTACTTCAAAAGAATTTTAATCAGCCTGTAATAAATTGTTTTCTGTTATTCAAATCATCCAGTCTACTATTGCTTCTCTAAAATGGACAAAGTTCAAAGAAAAGAGAAAGTTGATAGTTGTTTTCTACGTCGATTTTCCAATATTCTACGTATTGTTTTACCTATTATTTTACGTATTTTACGTTCTACGTAAAATTTCAGTTTCTTATTTCCACAATGAAATAAACAAGACTTGAAATAGACTTTGTAGAACAAAACCATAATACGCAGCGAACTATTGCAGGTAGTATTTATTACCAATAAGATTCACAAATCATTAGAAACCAGATATATTTATTTGGGTGCAATATCTACGGCACGATACACACAACGTTTTGGCTTCAGCAAATAAACGAAAACAGTATTTGATTTAATGCTAGATTATTTTACAAGATATTATTTCCGGACTTTCTCCATACCTCGGCTCCCTCATACGTAGTTTATTTCTGATTATGTGAAATGGGCCCCTTAACTTACTTCCCACCATGATCGTCCCAAATACGGAATGTTGGTCATTTTCATCATCATGCAGTGCGCTGACCTAAGACCAGGCCGATTTTGGTTTGCACACAATGCATGCTTTTTTATTACAGCCTCGTAACGTAATGAGGGCTGAACCACTCAGCTCTCGCAATTCTAATGACAGACAAACCACATTTATTTCCGTGTTTCTCTTTGTTCCCGTCCGTTCTTTCTGGGAAAATTTCTCGTCGAAACGGAAAGAACTAGGTCAGGAGTGGAGAGGAGAGTGCAGTTTTTGGACATGGAATGGGAGGGAGGGTCCCCCGTATTATTTGCCATGCTGCTGATGAGAAGTTGACTTTCACTTCAAATTAAAGCGTATAACTGGAAATGCAAGGGGTAGAAAGTCAGGAAATTTTAGTTTGAAAAAGTTTTTAACACAAAGGAGCCCATGTTTTCAATAGGTTCATGCATTGTTCAGGAATTTTAGGTCAGTATTCCCTCCAAAAAATGGAGAATTTCGCTCAAATCGAGGCCTACAAAGTAAAAAAAAAGTATGTCCCACTATCAAAGCTTTGTAGACCTGCTTAAAATGCAGACTGCGTAATGCAGACAGGCGATCAGGTCCAATTCGTTTTATAACTCACGTACCAAAATGATCCAGATTTACACAATTCTCAGGTTCATCAATCCCTTAACCCGGTTCAGTTCACGAATTCTTGGCACCGGCACCATCATGGCCGGCGTTGTGTCGTGATGCGAACAATCAGGCCACATTATTGCCCCCAACAATAATTTATGTGTTGAGAAGGAGAGGGGGACGAGGACGGCATTACAGATTCACGACAAATCAGGATATATTTCTATACGCAGTCCGGAAATCAGAAGGAACGAAACGAGCCAAAAGTCAAGCCCGTGTTGGGCACGCGGTAAATCATCCAGCCGATTATATAGAAAATCCGACATTGTCGCACTGACCTGACCTAATTTACGGAAGAATGAGGAGGCAAATGTTGTGCAGAAAAACTCAGTGTAGCAAGTTTTGAAGTTGTTTTTCGTTTGTTAAGTACGAAACAAAGGCAGAAATTAGGTCATTAATTATTCTAATTGCAAAACTAAAACTTTCACCCAGGGTTATGCCATGTGATTAGGCGTTGGTTTTGGGTGGGTGAAAGTAGGCGAGAAAGTTTGGTTTATTTTCTCGACTCCTTCTGCTCGTTATGAAATCTTTGGTCATTGAAAAAGTTTTAGAATATCTATTTCTGCTCTTTTTCTGTTATGCATGCAGGCACACGTGCGGTAATTTGCATAATTTGTTTTGAATGTTGCCAGTTTAATCAAATCAGTTGAAGGATTTCCGATTGTGAATAATATTTAAGTAAGTGAGGAATAATATTATTGAAAATAATGTGCATAATGCTGATAAAATCTGAAAATGTGAGGGAAGGAAGCTTTACTTGATGTTTATCATGTTATTCCCGAATCATGATTACAAGTATTTGTAAATATGATACCTAAAATTTCGTAGAATTGTTTTTGACAAACAAGTAACTCAAATTACTTTGTGACTTTGCCATGTCTTAAATTTCAATCGGATTTTTCTTTCTTTGATGATCGAGCATCCTGCACTTTTCCAATTTCTTTATGCTATCAATGCCAATTGTGAGATGAAAGAATCCAATTTCTTAAGAGCTTTTGAAACTTAAGAAAAGTCTTATTAAATATAATCTTGAGTGCATAGCAAATTGCATCTATTTGCAAATAACGGGGTATCCGCATTACTTGTACGTTTCTCTAGTACATCAATAAGTTTTCCTGTATTTTGTTGTAAATTAATCCACTTTTTACCGTCTCAAGTTCAGCTTTATCAATGTGTACGTAGCATATGCCTAATGATCAGTATGTGTAATTGGTAGATATTCAATTCAATTATTTCCTTTCTTCTAGATCCGCGCGTGGAGAAAATTGTTTCCTTGATACAGCAAAATTAAGCTGGATTTCATATTGATCATATATTTAAGCCCGGAAGGTTGACGACCAATTGCAACTTCACAGTAAAAGCTGACAAGTAATTTTTTAATAAATAAGTAAAAGAAGCATTTATTTACAATAATCTCCAATCTGCAATGTGCATCACTTCCGGGGGATTCGATCTCAAATTGTCAATTGTAGCACAATTATGGTACAAATTACAATGCATGCACGTACATAATGAATCACACAAGGATCAATAAGTCCTTCGTTTTGAGAATTTAGAAGTGGAGGAATCATGCAAACTATGAATAGCTTTAGTTGCCATTACTGCAATATAAGATTCGGAATCGCAATTTTGTGGGATATCCACTCCAAAATAAATGTAATGACGTCCACAAATCCGACTTCATCCTTATTGTGTTGTGACGAGCTTTGTTAGCATATTGAACTTGAATGGGGGACGACCACTGAACTGGACAATGGACTGGACTACCTACCTTGCTGGACACATCCCGTCATCAAGTGTAGATTAACTCGTGTAGTAATAAGCTAATCTTGATAAAAACACTTTACTTCTCAAGTGACGAAGAACAATAATATATTTTTCGACCCCTGTTTTTTTTATCAGATTCCGTCACACTACTCGTGTAATCAATCAATCAAGTTATGATTCATCTCGACATCCTTGGCTGAAGGTCCCATTTACATAAGCAAAACTCGTGCAATGTTTGATTTCAACTGAAGGGAAGTAAGCAATTGATGCGTCTGTATAAATAAATGTTTACCAAGTCAAACTCCAACCCATGCCGACTTATCGAAATGCTGAACAATGTTATCTTTCTATTTCCAATTGGTCTTGATTATGAAACAGAAAGTTTGAGGTACTACGAGCCACGTAGATGATAAGCAATAGTATAAATGAATACGGTACGGCTTCCATCCTTCATTCGACTTGCATACATACCTCGATTTAGTGATCAATTAAGCACAATTAGTTACATAACTCCACCATGAAATCCGTCTTCGTAGCAATTTCACTACTCTGTGCGATTGCAGGTAGCGTGAGGGGAAATATCGTGATTGAATCACCGTTCCAGACGAATTGGGGACAGTGGGGATGTAAGTATATATTTTAAAAAATCATAAAAATGTAGTCAAGAATCTGGTAGAGTCAGATATATAACCGGCACTGGTATTGATTTGATAATAACTTCCTACCGGATTGGTACTAGTTTGTTTCTGACTAGTAAATTTTTTATTACCACAACATTGCTAACGGTAATACCCGTTATTACCAGTGTCAGTAGAATCATATATACTCCGGTCAGTAATGATTAGATACCAGTTTTTTAAGAATGTAATTTTGGAACGCTTTTGTATTAAACGCTGTCCATAATTTTTCCAGCCTGGTCCAGATGCCCTTTTGGCACGTACGTTCAAGCCATCCAAATTCGAACGGAGCCTTACCAGGGCGCCGGAGCTTATGAGGACGACACTGCCGTAAATGGAATCCGGCTCTACTGCGGAGATCCCAACAATATCAATACTGCCTTCATTACCAGCCTCGTTGGCGAATGGGGAAATTGGGGAAACGTTTTCTCCTGCAGGAGTGACGACCGTCCCCTCGCCCCGGACGGTTATGTGACCGGATTCCAGCTCAGGGTTGAAGGTCCCTTGACCTTTGGGGATGACACGGCCACCGATAACCTCCGCATTTTGTGCAACTACCCGAATCTCGGAATCCCCGAGCAGACCAAGGAAGGTGACGGACTGAATTTTGGAAGTTGGACGGACGCGAGAAGGTGCTTATCTAACCAGGCAGTCTGCGCTCTGCAAACCCAGGTTGAGCCTTATCAAGGGGATTCGGACGATACGGCGATGAACAATGTCAGAATGGAGTGTTGCGATCGTTAAAGTCGTACGCATTAAGGAAATGTCGAGTCGGAGAAAGTTATATTTTTTAAGGGAGAAAGTTTTAAAAGGAAATAATGCTCATCTCAATAAAAAGAATGTGAAATGAAAATGAATTACTTTTTGGGCATTAAATTTTTTAGTCTAGAATTCATCAAAAAACTGACAAAATTTCAAAAAATTTAATTATCCCGAATGATTATTAGAGCCACACAAATGGCTACTTTAATTTTCTCTGCGTCAATTTCAGCATAATTGTTACACACTCACACAATAAGTTCGTATTATGTAACATGTTACATAATTTACTTCTTCGTGATCTTGACCACTTATTTTATACAAAACCTTATATAAATTATCCATATAATTTTTACGTAACGTTGAATAAGTCATTTTTTCATAAGTATATAGATATCAACCAATAATAAGTAAGTAATACGAACACAATGACACGGAGAAATAAATACTTACATGTTATCCATTTCTATTTGTGCTCTATTCTATACTTACATCACATAATCAATACTTGCCATTTTTTCCAAATTATAAAGCTGCCTGACTCTGATTGGCAATTATCTCAATTCACAGACAGACAGACGGATGTATGTACATAATATCATTTCTAGTATAGAAAATAAGGGTAATAACAAAAGAATAAAACCTGATTCTTTCTTTGTCAACTTATTCTTGTTGAATACAATTTTGTCCATTTTCTCAATTCATAACTGCTTTTATTTCACTTACGCAACGCAATCATTACTGTAAGTGAAATTCCACCCGCATCTTTCAAGTCATGTCTTTAACAAACAAATAAGTAAATTTTATCCCTTTACACAACACACCTTATTCAACTTATGTATTTCCAATTCCGTGCAAAAATGCGACTGATATCAAAATTTATCTCATCTCTCAGGAAGGATCTTGAACTATGTAATGTGATCGTTGACCTATTTTGGCATCATCATTTTATTGTGTACATGTTTTGTCCATGGTAGAAATTAGACACGAAACAACAAGACGAGTAGTTGAAGTAGATAAAAGGAAAATGAGAAGAATATAAGAACGTGTCAAATTCAGAGCGCGTGTGGACGTCGAAAGGTCAACACTTGGGCAACCTCGTGACACCAATAACAGTCAACAAGTGTTTGTTTGTTGGAATTCGTAGTAATTAGTACGTAGAGAAAGCTCTTGAAGTAAATCCAGTTCAAAGCCGGTGATCAACTTTCACCTTCCTATACGCACAGATAACCTTCTACTAAACTGGCAAGGACTCATCTTTATCGTGTATGTAGTAATTTGTACTTTTAGGTCATCAAATTCACTCCTCCAACCGACAGTTTTCCGCGGAGGGTATCAAGAATCCACTAATTGAGAACTTGTCGTGGAGGACGAATAAGTTGTAATTGAACATGCGGACAGATTGGGCCTTGAATAGAATAAATGACTGCGAGTCATGCACCCTGCCGACTCCACGTAGACATGACCTTTCACTCGCAGTCTATTCGTATGATACGTACACACACACGTCGAGATTATGCAGGTTTTATTACCTTACGACAAATTGTGACGGGACGATCAATCCTGCATAGTTGAGTGGTACGTATACATATTTTAGGTGAATCGCTGCCAGGGAAAATATATGTGCGACATTTTTCACGTTGATATATACATAAAGTCGAGAGAATCGAACGAAAATGAAGTGAAAGGTAACGTACGTACGGAGAAGAGATAACAATTACCGGTGGGAGTAGTGGAACCAACGTTGTTAATATCATGGATAAGCTGTGCGTGAGGATAAGTAATTACCGCATTGCATTGTGCCGGTAATTCAATAAAACTAACGTATAGTAAAGTTAGAATACGTTGAAATCATGTAGATCACTTGTTGAACTTTCTCTTTCCAAGAATTATGTAAAAGTGGAGCAATTTCTAATGATTTTATGTATGAAGTTGGCCAAAATAATTTCCGAGCTTTTTATTCTAGATAATTTCTCATTGGGTAATAAAATTGGAATTTCATTATTAATTTCTTAATATTTTTGGGGTGTTGTGTTTCGAGATAAAAATTCTTGAAGCATGAATTCCTTCATGCTCAGATTAAATTATATTCCACACATACAATGGTATTTTATACCGGCGCGTGGAGGATACGTGCATATTTACTGTTTGGTGTACACGTGAATATTTGCACATAAATATACGACTTCCTTTCAGCTTCTCTCTCTACCGTTCATAATAATGATTATCATGCGATGCGACAAGCTGGTCCCGTAGACATTTAGATAAGTGACCTTTGGATTGGACACGAGGTACACATGGCTCTCTTTCTCCATTTTAAATTCAAGTACACGCGTCGAAAAAACATGCCATGTCAGCAGCAGGTCCCACGAGTGTATGGTTCCATTTGTCCATGGTCTCCATACAATTCTGAAAGAAATGAAGTAAATTGCTGGCAAATTAGTCTCGTTAGACAGCAATTGAGCACAGGTAAGGTTGCAAAATGGATTTTAAAACTTTCACCTTCTTACGAATGTTGGAAAAATTTATGTGTAATCTTATCTATATGCAAACCTGTCTTAACGTAGGACTCGACTACACATCACCAAAATCAGCAAATTTTTAATCGTTTCTTAGCTCTGGGAATATATTTTGCAATTCTGGACGACAAATTTGATTTAGTTTATTAATAAGTAGAATGGGGCAATGACCTGCTGCTCTGCAAATTTGTTGTCCAGAATTTTAAAATAAATTCCCAGAGCTGAGAAATAATTTAAAATATGTTGATTTTAACGATGTTAATGATGGATCATCGCGTTACGTCAAAATGCAAAATCTGATGTACAGATCAATAAATTAAACCAGTAAAAATTCGTCAGGGACGTCATAGTTTTCGAAGGCCGATAAACCGTCTCGACTTGACCACAACCCAGAAGTCTGACCAAATGAGGAAACGTTTTTCAAAACACATTTGAAAACACTTCCATTTTCCCGTTTCCAACCTTATTCATCTTCCTCTCGACCTGACCGACACGTGTTGAACTTGTTGCCTGACACACTTCCGGTTCTGCTGTTCATGGTTACATTTGAACCCATACATATGTGTTTGCGGTTTAAATATGAAAGAGATCCGCAATCTAATCTAGTATATTTCCTTGTGCCACTAAATCCAGTTAATTAATCTGCAGATCAAGGGATTCGTATTATTTGGAATTACCAATTATTTATTAAAGGACAACCGAACAAACGAGAAACTTCAAAGGATCACTTGACATTTCACCTTCCTGATCTGACTTGTCAACCATGATATGAAATCTTTGTTAGAACTTTGTAGTAGAAGTAATTAATTTGTCGGTAAGGTAAACAAGGTTGACCTCATTTAAGTGGGAAACACTATTTGATTTATGAGGACACATAGCTTTTATTGAATTTCGCCCAAAATTTCTTATCGGTCACCTGCATGCGTAAGGAAAGAATGAATTTTATCCCGAAATAAGTATGAGAAAAACATTTTCTCACCTTCGTAAACAGGCATTTTACACGATACGTGATATGTTACGGAGAGAGAAAAAACTACCGGAAGCAGACAAAAAATAGGTTTGCTGAGTTAATTTGTTATTTGAACTTCTCATTGAAATTGATGAAAACTAGATCAAATTATCTAACTTCAAATTAATTTCAAAGCTTTCTTTGACCTGATTTGCGTAGTAATAACATTTTACAAAAATATATTGGCCTGTCTGGAAATTTAGAAAATTGAAATTTTTTTCATTACATTGGTAATTGATTTCATAACAAACTTTGTGCGTACGCAATTCTACATGTACAAACTCACATACTGTAATAAGTAAGCAATGATTTGAAGAAAGCCGTATTACCCCACTTTCATTCACTCTGTAATTGTCTGTTTTTCAACATTACATTGTGTCTTCTTATGTACTGTGTTATTATGTAAGGCTCAATTAATTGTTATGTGCGGGTAAGAGTACTTTGATGTGATCTTGTTGAAAAAGTGGGCCACTCCGTCATTATTATGTTCCTCGCTGGTTGGTCATGTTCTCTACTTTCACTTGAAGGTCGACCCCTTACACGTTTCTTCCTGATATTCAATCCAACGTGGCATGTCCGCTCCTCAACTAACAAGTAAATAAGCACTTTCTTCTCTCGCTCTGTAACACATACTGAGAAGAGAAAGCTGGACAGCATTAGTTACAATGGAGGTCGACCAGCGTATGCTCTCAGATTTCGGGCAAATTAGCGTCTATAGATGGCAGATTTAATTGATGTAAAATTTGCAAAAGTTCTCCAAATGATCAGATTTGGCAGAGATATTTGCATCCGAAGAGGAGAAAGCGCGCCTAAAAGTTGACAAATTTTACACTTTCTCTTCTTCGGATGCAAATATCTCTGCCAAATCTTATCATTTGGAGATCATGTCTTTTGCAAATTTCACACTAATTAAATTTGCGATCAATTGGCACTAATTTGCCCAAAATTGGAGAGCATACGCTGGTCGACCTCCATTCTGAGAAGAGAAAGCTGGACAACATTAGTTTGTTACACAATAAATAACAACTTTTTTTACGAAACAACACAACAGGCAACACGCTCTATAGCTGTCTGATCTGTGGACACTTCGCACTTTCACAGCTGCGGAACGGCCTTCATTTTTCTCATTCAGGGATTTTTTTTCAGATGAAAGAAAAATGTTCTCAAGGATAAGACCGAAGTTTTTTACTTACTAGGTATACTTGCGTGATGATGTCGTTTCCGGGAAGCGTGATACAAATACTATTAGTTTTCTTCAAGGAGAAAAAACATCCTTTCATCTTCGTTGCATGTATTTCCTGCCTGTTGCTGAGTGGCTTAATTTCACAGATAACGAGACGTCTTCCGACAATTTCCCGGTTGTGATGGCATGCATGAAGCAATAATAATCATTCCATAACCAGTAAAGATGGCCATGTCGTGTTTTCATTGAGAAAATTAAACCGATAATGCGAAAACAATAAAATCTTAAACCATGGAAGGATAGGGATTATCTTTTATTTGAGAGATTGGACAACGGATCCCCACCCTGACTCCATAGCTTTCTCTTCCAGCCACTTACGATTAGTATTGCAGTTCAGCGTGGCAAAATTTTGGGAACGCTCTCACCAGGAAAAAGGTTTAAGGAAATCTATTACATTTAAAATTATATACCATGTATTTTAATGACACGGTTAACCAATATGTTTGTGTAAATAATTAAGAATTATAAATAAATTATCATAACCATAAAGCCGGATCCGTGGTTGATCCCGTTTAACAAAGTACATAAGCATCGTGTCCTTATCTAGAAATTCCTAATCAGAATATAATACCCTACTTTTACTGTTAAAAAATCTGCACGCATGTATGCAAATGATGACAATTTATGCATGATTTAAAATACATAAACATACAATTCAGTCGAATTGTTTTCCAACCTTTCATCAATAAGCTTAATTTCATAGAAGTCTGCATAATTCCAAATTCTGATTATTAGCAAATTACTTACATACATATTAAACTCATTAATTATTACGATGCCTACAATATGTACATACCATGCCAAAAACAAATTGTATATAGATCATATTTTCTCCGAACTATAATTAGGAATTATAAAATTGATGTGATTCGACGAGGCGAAAGTTGATCAAGTTTATCCATACGTAAAGTAAATACGCGTCACACGTTAAATCTGAATCTGAGGAGGAGTGGGATCCGTTTTCTCTTTTAATTATTGTTATTATTATTACTGGGCTCATTCACTCGTTAATAATTTCACCGACCTTGTGCAAAACATAATGAAATTATATTACGCAGAAGGTGGGACGTGGACGTGGACCAGAAATCTTGACAAAGCGATAAACGACCTAGTTCTATTTATGGGTAACAACACAACATGTTTTTTGAGACATTTGTTCCATTTTGGGTCACAAACTTTTACTAATAATAGAAAAGAAACCTTATAAAGTAATTGGTTACGCTTTGTGATTTATTTGATTCAGATTCTGAAATGGCAAAGGTTTTCTTATTCGTGTGTGAAGAAGAATACTTAATAATCAATTGAGCAGACGGTGGGTTATTGTGTCGGGAAAATTTTGTCATACATTTTATAACCTGGCAGGCAGACAGACAAACATGCGTTGGTTGATATTGATGGTCTATAGGCTTTGGAAAAATCGTGGGCGTGTATTTCGGAAATATTGGAAAAGTTATATAATGAGGGTCTTATTTTTTACGCAGTTGTTTATTTTGCAAATGTGGCATGAGAAGTTTAATCACGATGATATTTTTTTAATCTTTAAATAAATTGGAATATTCGCAAAAATCTAAAAATTTTAATTTTGGATTTTAACTATTACAAAAGATGTAATAATTCTGTATTAATATCCTCCACCCCACCAAAGATAAACTTATGTAATTAAATGCTTGTGTAATAATTACGTAAAATAAAATGTATGGGATCTCATTCGAATAATATTTTGATCATGGTGATATGCTCATCTTTTAGTAAAATAAGCATAAATATATCGAAAAAGTGTCGACTAACTATTAATAAAATGTAATAATGTTATATACATATCCCTACACACCACCGACCACAGGTAAACTTATGTAATAAGTACTTGTGTAATAATTGCATAAAATAAAATGTACGGGATCACAATCACATCCCAATTCGTTCACCCATTGGATTTGAGATAATAATAAATGGAGAAAGTTTTGAAGTCGTAATACGTATCTCCAACTGTTTTGCCCTATTTTATGTGTCTGTGGACGGGTGCCGTGTGCTTTAGATAATATTATGTGGTTTCGTTTGGGGAGAAAGTTTGAACGTAAATTCAGTCAGACTACAACAATTTGCAGTATTCGTTGATGCATGACGTGTAGGGTGGAGTGGAACTGACCAAAACATTGGGGTTAAACCAGGCCAACTTTCCTTTCATCGTGTGTCAGCTATGTATGTAGATATGTACCTGTGTGAATCTCGTTTTTCAAATGGCATGAACAGAGGATTAAAATGGTGGAAGAAAATTTATGTGGAAATTTATCTAAAATTTCTAGAAATTCTGAACTGATCGTGTACACCAATTGTAAATGTACATAAGAAGAACACAGTGTAAAGTGCACGCGTCTTTCTTTTTCCTTTGCTCCGTCTAAAAATGCTTTCTCGACAAAGCCGTAATTATCTTATTTACAAGAGCTTACAAAACATGCGCCTAACTCTAAAAGAAATTTTAAACGGCCATTTACTCAACGGGGGACGCACGTGTCTGAATGTGAAAGCAGTGGATACCGTGACCGTGAGGTTCTTGGTGGTGCCACACACACAAGCTATCTAAATCTGCACCCCTGTAGAACATACATATGTATGTATTTACATGTGTCCATAGTCCACACATGTCGGACCGTCAAAATCCGGATTTAAGTGGCTCATTCTTGTCGTATCCTCTTCTATTGTCTCGCTTTTTTCATCATTATGGGACTACGTCGTCGCCACAAAATCGTCTTATTTCTTCTGTACCGATTCAATGTCAAAACTGGATATTTAATGAGAGGATTAGTCATAAAATTCTGAATGGGTGAACGATTCATTCCTGCAAAAGGTGAGATTGCTACGGGTCGGATATTTTCAGATATGTATGTATTTGCAGAATATTTCTACTTTCTTCAGTTGTCAGTCATTCAGAGTAAGCACAACTGCCATTTTTATTGCGGAAAACAATGCAATTGGATGAAACGGGTTGGTTAATTATGTACATACGTAGCGTTAGCTTTGTAGTTCTTTGTAGTTCCAGTCTTTATTGGACAAATCTGCGGGATTATGCTTCATGTGGACTAAACTGGTCGACTGAATGAAATGCTAAATATTGTGCTGTTGTATGCGAAGATAGCTTTACGACTTTGGTTTAATACTTGGTCGCCTCTGGTTGGCAGGACCTCGCAATAAATAAGTAATTCTGAAACGATTGTCCTCTCCTGTCTCACAATGCGGCGGGAGTAACCGGTTTTGGGTCAACATTATTATTATTATTACAATATTGCTCTCTGTATGTTTCTTCTTCTTGAGAATAGACCCTCTTCGCCCATCCTTCAGAAACACAAGGGAAAGAGGAACAAAACGCTCATTTTCCTTTTGATGAATTCTCCCAGCTGGGTACGGATTATTATATTACACGAGGAAAGTAGAGCAGTCTGCACGGATCTTGTTTCACGTCTTCTTCTTGGGGCAACGTCTTTGAGAAGCGGTCAGTTTGGCTAAAGTCGAATTGGCGAAAATGTGCAAATCTTCGTCAGTGTGGGGAAAAGATATCATGAAAGTATTTACCAGATTGGCGAAATTACAAATTTGGCAAAAACGGAAAGGTCGTGAGATCTTCGCAAAATACCATTTTCATAAAACCTGCATTTTCGCCAATTGCGACATTATTTTGGCCAAAAGGTACTTTGAAACCATTAAGACTAAAACCAGTATCGTAAAATGAGCAAATTTTTTCGCCACATGGGAATATTTTTTCGCCAAAAACGTTCTCGCCAAACTTCCTGTCTTTTTGCATTAGTGCGATATATATCGCATCATTGTTCTTCGAGATGACCGACCTACCACAGACTATGAAAACTGCATTTATGTATCTGTCTCTACCCCATCATGCACAGAATCTTTGGCCGAAATGACGAAAAGACACGACACAATATGTAAGTATTTGAGCGTCTCGAAATTTCAGACGGGCGTGACCATAAAAGTAATGTTGCTATTTCCTGACCTGCACTGTACTCCTCGACATCAAAAAACATTTGGCTGCGGGTTCTGGGTCAGTCACACACAGTCTCTGGAGATACGTGCTCCTCTGTCTTGAAATGATTAAAAGGGTGGATTTTATTCGCTGCAGAATGTCCCAGTCTGATGGGAAGTACGTTTATTATCATTTTCTCCATGAAGAATTTTAGTCTGTCTGACTGACTGGGTAGAAAACAAATCTTAAAATAAAAATGCATGCGTACATATCTTTTGGCGTGTCCTCCATCCTGCAGAATGTTGTTGTGTCATTGGCCGTAATAAAAAAATAGCTACAAAACTACTACAAAACCCATTGACGGTGTGAGGTTACGATTCAAGTTGCAAATTCCTGAGGGTAAAAAATTTAAAACACGAGAACACCGAGGAATTGACAGATTAACGACTTGTCCCAATTTTTACGTTCATGTATTTTTTCGTCATTCGATACACGTAAGATTTGGGTGGGATGGAGTACGGTTAAGTGTTACCACATTTTTAGCTGTATTGTACGGGGCCGTCCATAAATTACGTAACGCAAAAATCGCGATTTTCTAGACCCCCCTCCCCCCCTTTAACATGCGTAACATAGGCACGATATCATTGGAGCCCTAGACCCCCCCTCCCCCCTCTTGCGTTACGTAATTTATGGACGGCGCCTACACTGTTAGAAATCTCGTATAGTCAGGCACCTAATGATTTCTCTGTGTTAAAGTTGCTACCGCTTGGTATTAAAATTATACGGGTCTGCAGAAATTTGCTTTTATTGATATGGTAAAACTTAAATACCGAGCTATTAGGTACTACGGGGCATTACTTATGAATACCACTTGGTACTATTTTAATACCGGATTTTTAAGAGTGTATATATACTGTTGGCTGCGTATTACAGTATAACGCAGAATTTGCAGATTCATAGTTTTTCCTACTTCATTTATACCGAAGCCAGCAAAAAATTCACCTCGAATCGGATCGGATCCTCGGATCGGCTATCAAATGAACGTATCAAGTTGTAATGGTTCATCGTAATGACGTGATAAAAACTTCAAAAGAGATAATTTAAAATGCAGGATTTTATTTCTTAAAATTTTTTTATGAAAGTGAATTACAGATCAACTTTCACTTTCCATCAAGCTAAAAAGTAATAAAGATTTGTCGATGGTAATAATAAAGCGGTGATAAAATGATGTGATGAATGAGGCAAGATTACAGGATGAAAGGTGAAGGAAAAAGCTAAATTATGAGGTCTGTACCCTCGTAAAAGGAAAAGTTTTGTATTTCAGAGAGGCAAGTACATAAAGTCGGTCAAAATGTGCGTTAAACGGATCAGTTTTCAGGCATTTTTAGTGAGAAATCAGGTCGAGAATTTCTCCAATTTCGACACCTAGAAGGCCGATCTTGCAGCCCCACTCGTCAAACTGGGGATATCATGCGTCCCCACTCGTCAAACTGGGGATATCATGCGTCGCGCAGTGAATGCCACCCCCACCCGACGCCAAATTCGAGATATTCACCTGAACCACGGTTCTTCCAGGATATTGAAGCGCCAGAACTGCTTTTGCCTCCGCATCAGCTTCCGTGTCTCCAAACTGCGGCATGATCACGGCCCCATTAACGACCAAGTAGTTGACGTAGGACGCCAGGAACTCGTTCTCTGTCCCTGGCGGCATTCCCACAATCTTGTCGCGATCGGGTTCATAGAGTTCGACGATGGTGAAAGATCGGCCCTTGGCATCCGTGGTTGCTTGTAGGACGGATCTTGCTTCGTCTGATGATTTCGACCAGACGTCCTAACGATTACTCGATTGTTATGTTTAGTTATGTATGTAAAAAAATTTACAATGGAGGTCTCCCAGCGTATGCTCTCAGATTTTACTAAAATAGTGTCAATCGATCGAAAATTAGTTAATATAAAATTTTCAAAAGCTACAATCTACCAAATGCTCAGATTTGGCAGAGATACATGTTTGCATTTGAATAAAACGCCTCTCATAGTTGACAAATGGTACACTTTTCCAATTTACTACGCGTTTTCTCCTCTTTGGATGCAAATATCTCTGCCAAATCTGAGCATTAGTAGATTGTACCTTTTGAAAATTTTATATTGATGAAATTTGTGATCAATTGACACTATTTTAGTAAAATTTGAGAGCATACGCTGGGAAACCTCCATTGTAATATTTTTAATTCTATGCCAAAAATTTTACCTCTTCCGTGCTCCCTTTCGGTGGCCTGTTTAAAATAACCACGCCCGGACGGACAAACCTCGCCAAGGAATCTACATGAGCGTCCGTAATATCCTGGCCGACAACTCCCTTAAACCAAATGATTTTCTCCAACCCGAAAACTGTCATCAATTCCTGCTCGAGTTCCTGCCTCGTTCCAAAGCTCGGGTTCCTGTTCGTGTTGAAAAGGCTGCTCTCCGTGACCAGCAAGGTTCCGTCCCCATCAAACTCGAGACTTCCTCCTTCTCCCACGATTCTGGACGAGATCCTGGAAATGTTAAAGTGCGCCAGGAAAGTCTGGGCCAGGTTGGAATCCTTCGCGTGGACCTGCTTCTTGTTTCCCCAGCCATTAAAGTTGAGGTCCACCCCGACCAAGGTCTTCGAGATGGGGGACGGACTCCCATCCTCCTGCGGCGGAGGTTGGTCTGTTTGGACGCCAAAAACCGGGAGGGTGTCCCTCGCCCAGAGATCGTCCACGGGCATCGGCACGATCGTGATTTTCTGCAAGTCCGACGACGTGAAAGCCGACTCTGCTGAGGAAACTTGGTCCGGATTGACAATCAGGGTGACCGGTTCGTAGGGCGAGATGGCCTTCGCAATGCGGGCAATGTCCTCGCGAACTTTGTCGAATAAGGGGGTCCCCCAAATGTCCGGGGTTGCCGGCCAAACCATGCAAGTTCGAGAGTGGGGTTCCCATTCGGGAGGGATGTGGATTTTAGGGGTTGACATTCCTGGAAATTATGCATAATGAAAATTTTACAAAATTTTGAAAACTATATAAATACTTTTTTTACAACCTTTGCACAACAGGAAGCAAACGACCACGCCAATACTTGTCAGGAAAAAGTCGGAAATTATCATTTTTGCGAATTTCACTAGAGTCTTGCTGACTTGCAAATCCTTTAAGAACGGAAAATATACTAAATTTGTAATAGATGAGTAATATTATATAGCCAACTTTTTAATGGCGTCTAGTCACCATATTTTCTAGGTATTTGCATATGTGTACAAACCACAAAGTACTTATCTACGTACTACAAAAGACTGAGGAGAGCTTGAAAAACTGGGCATGCAATTAGGAAAAGTAACGACAATACTTCAGACGCGTAATAGGTTAGTTTCTCATGCCTTGCATTCAAGTGTCAGTCCAAACATGGAAACATGTAAGTTGTTCATCCGGCTCATTCAAAAACAAATTAAACTCCAGAATTACTCACATGAAATATTGCACGAAACACGGCATAAGGTGCTAGCTGTTTCTGGTATGGACGTATGTTTTGCACACATGTACACAGTGGCCGCGGAAGCGTGGGGACAAAAGAGGGACAATGTCCCCACGGTTATTCGATGTCCCCATCATCTCCCCATGTTATACAAACCCCGCCCTCCCCTATCCTACAATGTTAATGTCCCCACAGCTTCCGCGGTCACTGATAGCAAGCAATACTTGTATTACCTTGTCTTAATTCACTTCACGATCGACACGTGTCGTGCTCAGAATGGATTTTTACTTTGTGTAACAAAACCAATTTATTTCCACAAAGTCGACCAACACAAACAGGAATACGTATGAATGCAGTCTTTACCTTGGCATAGTAAAACTTTTTCAAGGTTTTTATCACTCCAGAAATGTAGGGCAGAATCGAGTACAATTTTATGGCGTTGTTTCCGAAAAAAATAAGTAAATACGAACCTCAACCATCAATCTTATAGGGAAACTGATGAAAAGTTTGTTTGTGCTTTTCTTCCGATAATGTGAGCATTTGTACGTCTTAAGTAAGCGTATTGTGTGATATAACTGGTTTTATGGGCATTTCAACGCTTACCAGTAATTACCAATTTACGCAGTAAATAAATAATAAAAAGAGTTCGCTAGCTTATTTCATTATCGCTCAGGCTGCATTTCCCGATACTCGATTTATTTACCTACATAAAACTCACCCGGGTAGCTACGTACATAGCTCACGCGCATTTCACATACATACATAAAAGAACCAGGCCGTTTCTAATAATAATAATAATAATAGCCTTTATTATCCTCATTTACTAGTACTAGGGAATGCACAAAAATGAATTTAGCATAGCACACTAGCCTATTTTCGTGAGCTTACATCCTATTTAAGCCATTACTACTACCGTCAACGACGTCAAATTATAAATTTAACTAGATGAACAAAACAAAACTAACTCGCTACCTACTGGCGCGACTATGTTGGTTGCATACCAAGACTAGTAATGTTTGTAAAATTTAGATACATATAAGATAATCCAATATTTAACCAATTGACAAATTTTAATTAATAACTTACTTAAATTATAAATTGTGTTGGAAAAATGCACAAAAAACCAACTAAATTTTGAAATACAAACCAATTTTTGATTCTAATGCAATAAAGGTTTCGCTAAAACCTTTATGCAACCAGTGACACATTTTGTTCTAAAAATCCTGTTTCCAAAATTTTGTTTAGTTACGACGTTATTTCCAAAATTTTACACCACCCAGCATTTTACCTGTAATAAGATAATGTCTCACCTTTTTCGGAAAATCGTGCAATGAAACTGACAGTGAAGAACGAATTGATAACGAAATATGCAAATAAAATATTTCGGAAACTACTTACTGATAGCACATGGAGGTTAACCCATCAATTCTCACACACAATATATGCATTAGTACACGCATGAATATGCGCTGAGAGTAAGAAGAAATAGGAAATGTTTTGCACCAAGGTTGTCTAATCACCTCGAATGAAAGCGAATTTTTGCTTCTGTTTTACTCACCTTCACCCAGACGAGGCTCTCCATTTCATCGCCATTAAAATGTAACTCTAACCTTTACCTCACATTAAGTATTGAGTCTGAGCTACAATTAGGCCAAAAAATACTTATGTATGCGCATCTCTTCAACTATCTATCATGTTTGCAGTTTATTTAGTCAGTGATGCAGTTTCATAACTGCGTTGTAACTATATGTAAATATAGATTTACTACATACACATATTTATGTAAATAAGTAAGTCAATCATAATTGTCGGAAATGAACTCAAATTAAGTCATGATTAAAAATGTGGTAATTGGTTCAACATAAAAAAACTATGAGATTCTTAATGCACGTTTCGTGTTTCGTCCCTCTGAAAAAAATACTACACATTTTTTCCTCTAATTCACGTAAACAGAGTTTTTTAATAGTTTGTTTTGAGGGAACAGTTTGTATCGTATTTCATTTCATTTCATTTCATATCATTCCTGGTTATTTAAAGATACATACATATTATTGACATGGAGTGAACCGTTTACTTGCCGTTTGCTTGGGTTGCCCAGTGCCCATGACTCAAAACGTGAAAATGTTTGATGTGGTTTTTTGTACATATACTCGACTTGTTTTTCCTCATCTTTAAACATGAGGATAATGTAACAGACACATCAATCTTACAATGTTTCAGAGGGCAGGTTGCAATTATTTTATGGAAATGGTAGAAAACTAAATCCCCCCAGTTCTCGTGTCGTTTGATGTTTTAAGAGGGGATCAACACCCCGAGATCAACTATACGCTTGTAAAAACGGGTTAAATCCAGTTTGTTCTGCATCACGGAGATATTGACGAAAGTGGCACGGCGTCATTTTATTTGTTTTAATTTTAGATGTCTACATACACATCATGCCCACATAAAAAAGCGTTTTTGCAAGCTTTTGATCATGAAAAACATTCAGGCGTAGGTAGAAAGAAAACATGATTGAAATTCGCAAAATCAAATGCACCTCTATTCCGTGTATCTTGAGCTTAACAAGAAATACAGGAGGATATATTTTTCATTTCTCCGTCATTCGATTCGAGTGATTCGAATAAATATTATCCATTTTAGACCAAGCAAATCTGTTGAAGGGGAAAGTTCCAGTTGTCTTTGACGTTATAAAATTTCGTCAATACTTTGACCATTCGAGGTGTGCATGATTATGACCACCAGTGGCCGCAGAAGCCGTGGGGACATGTGGGGACATTAACATTGTACGATAGTGGAGGGCGGGGTTTATATAACATGGGCAGAGATGGTGGGGAAATTACTTAAGACATTGTCCCCACGCTTCCGTGGTCACTGACGATAAATGTATAAGTACTCATGATAATGTCTAATTATGTAATAATTTGTCGCAATTGTGGTCCTGCCACCTGTTTAAATAAGTGTCAGTCCTATATACGTGCAACTTATGCAATGGTCCTAAAGAAATTCCATATCATGTCATGTCATGACGAAATTTGACACAATCTATGATCCAAGTTCCAACTACATCAAAAACTAATCATGACGATGTAATGTAATCATGATAAGTGACCAATGAGTTATCACATAGGCATAATTAAACGTCACTACTCCAATTGACAATTTCCATAAATAGTTGATCCACCTGTATCAATTTTCACTTCAACCATCATCAACTTCTGGTCATTACTACTCGCTCTCTGCATTAAATAATTTGAAATGGAACTCTGCAAAGTGCTCTTGACCTTTGCTTCTCTGGTCGTCGCGACATCGGCGGCAGATTGGCCACTCCCATCGCCGGAAAAGACTTACCTCGTCCAAAACAGTGAGGATCATGGGGTACGAATTTTCATAGACAATTTTTTTTTTCAAAAATTCAGAAATTCAGAATTTAGAATTTCATAATTTTTGTAGCTGCTCCTCGTCCCCCAAGGTTCGGGAGAGATGTGCAAACGACTCAGCCCAGTGTCCACTACGACCGAATTTTCCGCACCGTACGACGATAAGTACAAGTGGACCGTGACTGCTCCATTTAATTTCAGTAAGTAAAAGATCTGAAAGTTGTTTTATGCAAATATTTATGTATATTTTTTAATGTTTGGACAGCCGAAGGTGTCATCATTTACTCGAAACGTCAAGAATCCGGTTACATGATCAACAACCTGACCAATGATGAAAGCTACCCTCCATACTGCTACCTCATGTTTAGGCATGTCAACCTTTATTATAATTAATTAAATAATTAAATAATGAATAATTAATTAAGATTTAATTAGTATTGAAATATTAGATAATTATTTGTGTTATTATGAATTATTTAGGCATGTCAATCTTATTCCACGAGAAGGCTTCGGGGCAATGTTTTCCATTCAAGATGTCAACTCCAGGATGTGCCTTGCTTCCAGTGGGTAAGTCGATAAGTGAAGAAATGGACATAAGTACATAAGTACTTAACAGTTTTGTGTAATAATTATGTGTAATTGTTTATAAAATGCAGCTTAAACAATGGAGCACCACGTTGGCAATCATGCGAAGAAGTGGCTGCGCAGATTTGGGCCTTTATCGAAGCTCAGTAATTTTATCCAGGACTTGTCAATTTTAATCTTTTAATCAAAATTAAAAACCAATAACTTACTGTACATTTCGATTAATAAATTTGGTAAACATTCAGCAGCATAATTTACTTGTTTGTTGGAGTCATTTTTTTCGGAATAATTTTAATATAATTTTAATTCGCTATGCAGCTAAACAACTCTCTACGATGCATGTAAACATGAACGCACTTGACTTATCAATTAAACAATTACTGATTTGCTGACAATTTGTGAGTAGTTTTTTAGTCGTGATTTTTTAGTCCAAACATATCTCATTTTATCGTGATATGACTTTATGCATGATTATTTTTGGACAAGATTTAATATGAAACAAATTATCAGGGTTGGCCAAGATAATTTAACAAGATACAAGATATCAGATACAAGATACAAGATATATCTTGTATCTTGTATCTTGTATCTTGTGTAACGGAGTTTATCTTATCTTTTATCTTGTATCTGAACGTTTCGTAAAAGTATTTTTCTATTTTTTCCTATTACGTCCACTAGGTGGATGTATATATGAAAGGTATAGTATGTTAGCACGCCAGCCAATGTTAAATAAAAACGATCGTGTGGCGAAACCATACAAGATACGAGGTTGGTGTAAAAAACTTTATGACCGTCTTCCAAAAAGAGGGATAGGACACGCATACCGTTTTTCGAAATTTTGAAAACTTTTTGAAATATCGACGCCGACACGTCGGACGCAAAATAATCACTAAATATTTTTTCAAATGATTTGGGCGCATGATAGAGAAAAACGGGCGACAGGTTTATATCTATAGGTGCAATAGCTACAACTTTTGGTTGAAACTTTTTTTCGAGCAATGCCTCCCTGAGGCGCGAAAATTCAAAATGTCGATTTTCGGGTCATTTCATTCTGCATCAAAGAAGCATATAAAACTTTTGACTTTTCTTCCATATTTTCAACGGAATCATATTCCTGAGAGGTGTGCGGACGGCCCTCCTCATGACCTTCTTTTCGAAATTCGGCTTCCCTGCGGCGCCACGTTCGAATCTTTGAAAACTTTCGCAATTTCAGTTGCCAAATTCAAATCAAAGCTGCAGCCAAGCCGTGATATTTTAGCAACTAAAACAAAGTGGGACCTTTTTAAGGACGGTCTAACTTAGATTTCTCCCATTTACAACTTTTTCGAAATCGACCAGGTTTTTGATCTATGGCGGGAAGTGTCAAATTCGAGTATTAGTGTGCATAATCATGTAATGTAACTTATTTAGTGTTAAAAAATAGTGTTTTTCCGCGGTTTTACCGCATAACTTGTGTATCTTGTATCTTGTATCTGGAGAATTTATTTGAGTCATATTTTATTTGAAATACTAGTCAAGATACAAGATACTTTTTTTTAGTGAAAAACCAAGAAACTTGCATATTTGGCAGCATTAAACCTTGGAATAATGATCATTTAAAAACCTTAATGTACAGCTTTGCCGAGTCAGATGCAAGGTTCTGTTGTATAACGTCGTTATATTTATTTATGCACAGTAAATAAACCCTCGACGTTGGAAAATTTTGTAATTTGCCTTTATATTCCTAATTTGTACCACCATTAGAGCAATCATTCCAAATTTCAAATGAATATACTGGTAATAATAATTTCAGCTCCATAGAACAATTAAAAAATCAGTATGGGTCACCACATGAAATGTTGGAAATTCTCATTTGTTTATAAATTATAAACAGAGGGTGAGGACTTGCATTATAAATTATAATGCAAGTTATGAGTCGTATACTATTCTTATTAACAAGTTACTCGGCTACAATACAAAAAATCAAGTGGTGCATAGTTATTTATTTGCAAGCTCCGAATAATTTATCTTGTATCTTGAAAAAATTATTTCAAATAAATATCTTGTATCTGGGATCACAGCAGATAAAATCTATCTTGTATCTTGTATCTTGTGTAACTCTAATTATTTGTACCTATTTAGTATCTTGTATCTTAGGATTTCGTTCAAATATTTTTTATCGTGTATCTTGTATCTTTGAAAAAAATTATCTTGGCCAACCCTGCAAATTATTAACAATAGATCCTTGATTTATTATGAAACCTTATCGCAAAACAGGCGTCATCACTTGAATCAAATTTAATTGATGTCACTCTAACGAATGCAATTAATATCTATTTAATTATTAATTATTAAGTATTTCAAATTTTTAATTTAACGGCGTCAAAACTGCGCACGTGATTCTCTGCTTGTGTGCCATGTCTGCTGGACCCAATTACTTCCGTGGACAATGTGATATTATTTAAAGTACAATGAACCATGTACAAAAATATGCTCACATTTCACTGAAAATGAAAATAGCGTTGAAAAATCATACCAATTAACAAAAAGTTTACAAAATCTTCCTCCTAAAACCGGTTAAAATAGGTTCTCAAATAACTCGGGACTCTAACTACCTTGCCAATGATCCCCATTTTGAACTGTTTAGCTATCCAATGTATAACATCTTATCAATACCAATGTTCAGATAATGGCACAGATTGAACCCAATAACCACGAATAGAATCGCCATACTCATGTTCCTCTCGACTTGGCTTATCAATTGCTCACTTGTCACACATGGATGAAGTACCAAAGCCATTTCGTCCCCAATGTACTTTTCTGTACGTATTTATGCAAGGCAGTTTACTTAAGCGGTGACCTTTTCATCATTTTATGCTGCACAATTTTCGATAAAAGATCCGCCGCTAGTGGAACAATCGAGTCTAATAATAACGATAACTCGTCTTTGATGAGTACGAAATTGATACTTGGAAAGCTGAAATTGGATCAGCCGTAGCTACGAAATAGAGATGGCGAGGTATTTATAACCTTCATATCTCGTACTCCTCATTAGCCACTCATCTTCAGCCTTGGTGAAATTTCAGGAGGATTTTGATGTCTCTCATTGTTCTGGAACTTGTCGACGTTTGTAATAATACGCTACAAATTTGCTATCTACGTATGTATGTATCCCTGCTGACTTTGTTTATTATTAGAACTAATAATAATCCACCCAATAAGCAGATAAATAAACGTTTACGAACGAATACAAAGAAGTAGCGGAAAAGCGATTGAAACTTCCCTGAAAATGGCACCATATATGGCAATTATGTATTTCTTGACATTTGGCCTCGTCCTCGTGGTTGGTCGGAGGTCAAAAATATTGACGGCATTGAATTCCTGGTGAAATTTCCTTTAAAATGACACTCCATATAAAGATTAAGGTCCAATTTGGCGTTTGACCTCACCCTTGACCTTGACCTACTGGACTCCATCTTCAAACTTGGCCGACCACCGGGCAAAAATTAGAAGCGCCATGGCGAAAACGGCGTATGATGAGTTGTTCTGGAAATATCCTGCTTACAGACGGACGGACAGACAAAAAGAATACCATAAAGCAGTCGACGCTACTTAATAAGCTGCTCATCTTTACATACTTAACAGTTACAAAGAAGGCTACACATACATACATGATTAGGCAAACAGGTATTATTTTGTGATACGAATCGTCATTTTCCAAGGTCTGTACGTATTTCGAAATTTGTATTATATTGAAGCTTCTATTCATCCAGAAAGAAGCGGTGAGTGAACTCGGCTGAAATCAAGGACACGTTCGAACGTATTGTATTATTTCATCAGGAAAGGAGTGGGATTGGGTAATGGCGAAATTGGCAGGGCAGCAAATAAAAATTCAAATGTAGAAATCCCCAAGGAAGGAGAAAGCAACCTATGCATGACGTACGTGTCGTGACAGCTGCTCCTCTCCGTCCGTATCTTGAGGTGGGAGAAAGTATGGTAATGATTGCCGTTGTACAATTCAGACTTCTTTTTTCAAAGACAAAGTTGTCCTGTTATTGGGTGGATTTTTCATAGATTTTTTTTTGTGTAGTAAATAATCTTAACTCATTTAATTAGTGGTATTTTTGAAAATAAATTGTGTAATTTTTCATGAATTTTACATTTTTTTCTAGAAATGTAATCTAAGGAAATTGTATGAAAACCACATTTGCGCCCCAAACTTTCTGAAATCTGACAAATTTCTGTAATCTAATATAAAATATTTATATCTTAACTAATTTAATTAGAAGTATTTTTGTACAAGGATTTTGCGAGTTTTCATGAATTTTACACATTTTTTAAAGAATTGTACTCTATGTACGGAACTTGTTTCAAAAATACGATTGCCCCCAAAAATTCATCCGAAATCTGCCATAAAATACAGAACAATTTCATAAAAGCCGATTCAAGGACATACTTCTGTGAAATCCGTTGAACTCTTATCCATCCTTAGCTTTTGGCTATACATCTAAAATCCGACGAGAAAGCATGCCTGAAACACTCGCAGATCGGGTGACACTCGCATCCACACATTATTTTGTGCTTGGCTGGCGTTGCTCAAACATTACACGAACCACTTTCACCCAGTTATGCCCAGATCTTTTGTTAGCTGGTGGGATTAGCAAGCAAGGCAGCATAATGGAGAAATTCTGCTGGATGGATACAGAGACGATATTTTTTATACGTCTTGGTCCACTGCCTCGATATTTTATTGCTTCCACTATACAGCCAAACCACTTTTGAGATGTATGTATGTATGATGCAGCCATAGATTAGTGTCGGAATGCCGCATCGTCTGCCTCGCTGCTGAAAGTGACACGTACATATAGCATGAAAAATTATGTAAACGTCTGCATTGCAATTTCAAAGAAATCTAGTCAATACATACTGTCCTAGACTTTGGACTTTTCAAAAGATTACTAATTTGTCCTCGATACAAAAAAATTGCGGAGATTGCATCTTTCTTTCTTCGATTGATGACGGGAAAAAATTGTTTTTTGCAATATGGCGAAATAAACAAGTCTATAATATTTCGCAATAATAAACCGTAGCAAACGAAATGTAGGAATAGGGTGATACATGTAATTTCTCACAAAATTATACGACCACACCCCCCGACCTCGAGTGGGGGTGGTCTGATTAACCCCAAAAGTTGATAGGATCCTCCCCCTGGGGTCAAATGTATGATCCCGCAAACCCATCTCGATTATCTCAATCCATTCTCCCGTTATCCTG